TTTCCTAAGTGTCGCACCCTCTTGTCTCAATATTGCTGGGATAGAGACACAACCAAATTAAGATTTTTTTTGACATAATATTATATTTTTGTATTATATTATTATTATTATTATTATTATTATTATTATTATTATTATTATTATTATTATTATTATTATTATTATTATTATTATTATTATTATTATTATTATTATTATTATTATTATTATTATTATTATTATTATTATTATTATTATTATTATTATTATTATTATTATTATTATTATTATTATTATTATTATTATTATTATTATTATTATTATTATTATTATTATTATTATTATTATTATTATTATTATTATTATTATTATTATTATTATTATTATTATTATTATTATTATTATTATTATTATTATTATTATTATTATTATTATTATTATTATTATTATTATTATTATTATTATTATTATTATTATTATTATTATTATTATTATTATTATTATTATTATTATTGTTATTATTATTATTATTATATATATGCCCATATATATTTAAAATAAAAGTTATTGGGTATACAAATGCATGAAGTCATGAACTAAAGCAATACATACGTAGTATTATAATATCTAGTCTAGATTTAATAAAAGGAAACCAAATCATTTCTAAAGCATGAATGATACGTTACTTACGTACATCATGGTTAAAATTTCTTTCCTAGTATAATTAATTACCAATTTTTTTTTTCATTAACTCCATATTTTGCCCTTATTTTGAGCGGGAATTTTTCCTCCAATTCTTACTCCAACTTTGTTACTTTATATTATATAAAGATAAAGATATAAAGATATTATGTTCATATATATGTTACTCATTTGATTCCAACGAATCTTGAATTTTTTGAAAAACACCTTATACTTCGACACAACCAAATTAAGAATTTTTTTTGACATAATATTATATTTTTATATTATATTATTATTATTATTATTATATATATGCCCATATATATTTAAAATAAAAGTTATTGGGTATACAAATGCATGAAGTCATGAACTAAAGCAATACGTACGTAGTATTATAATATCTAGTCTAGATTTAATAAAAGGAAACCAAATCATTTCTAAAGCATGAATGATACGTTACTTACGTACATCATGGTTAAAATTTCTTACCTAGTATAATTAATTACCAAATTTGTTTTTTTTCATTAACTCCATATTTTGCCCTTATTTTGAGCGGGAATTTTCCCTCCAATTCTTAGGGAGTGTTTGTGATTGCTTGTGCTTTTTAGAAGTGATTTTTTTAAGAGATTATTGGAAAAGTGATTTGTAGTAAAAGTTGGTAGTGTTTGAGAATAAAAGTGATTATAATTAAAATGTAAAAGTTGGAATATTGGATAAAAAAGTGGTTTTTGATGTGATATTCTATTAAATACAAAAATGCCCTTGCTATATCAATCCCTTGCTATAGTAGAAGGTTTCTCAAAATTCTCTATGAATGATGATGTTCTCTAGATTGGCCGAACTGTGCCAAATCAATGCTCTGCTTTAGTTCTACTTCTCCAACCAAACCCTCTCACCTCTCTATATCTTCTCATCTATGGGGCAAGTCGGGAAAATGCACTCGGATCTCCAGAAGAAGAAGAATGAGATAGACAGAAGCTCTGAAAAGAGAAGCCCGTTGCTAGATTGTCCGGGCGAGAAGGAGATTAGAGAAATCGTCCATGGCGGCCTTGATGGACCCCATCTCTTTGAAGACCTGTGTCGAGCTGCAGCACGGAAGTCGGAAGTGGAGGGGAAGTGAAACGGAAGAAAGCAGGTGGAGAGCAGAGAGAAGAAGGGGCAGTTTGGGTTTAATTGAAAATTTTGATCTAATGACTATCCATAAAGTTTCAAGTATTTACTAAAAAACCCTAGAAGCACTAAAAAGCATCACAATGGCTGCTTACAACTTTTGACTTAAAAGTGCTCAAAATTAAGCTGAAGTGTGTGTTTGCAAACACCCATTTGAGCTTATTTTAACAAAAAAGTTGAGAAGCACTTTTGGGTAGTGTTTGAAAACACTCCCTTACTCCAACTTTGTTACTTTATATTATGTAAAGATAAAGATATAAAGATATTATGTTCATATGTTACTCATTAAATTTGATTCCATTGAATCTTGAATTTTTTGAAAAACACCTTATACTTTGACATGTTGTTACACTAATTTTTAATTTAACCTTGTAACCATGATTAATTTTAAATGAGTGACTTTTCTACATACATTTCTAATCTAATACGGAGTATATAAGTGTGTATGTGTGTGTATATATATACACATATACCTAGTAACATATGAACATAATATCTTTATATCTTTATCTTTACATAATATAAAGTAACAAAGTTGGAGTAAGGGAGTGTTTTCAAACACTACCCAAAAGTGCTTCTCAACTTTTTTGTTAAAATAAGCTCAAATGGGTGTTTGCAAACACACACTTCAGCTTAATTTTGAGCACTTTTAAGTCAAAAGTTGTAAGCAGCCATTGTGATGCTTTTTAGTGCTTCTAGGGTTTTTTAGTAAATACTTGAAACTTTATGGATAGTCATTAGATCAAAATTTTCAATTAAACCCAAACTGCCCCTTCTTCTCTCTGCTCTCCACCTGCTTTCTTCCGTTTCACTTCCCCTCCACTTCCGACTTCCGTGCTGCAGCTCGACACAGGTCTTCAAAGAGATGGGGTCCATCAAGGCCGCCATGGACGATTTCTCTAATCTCCTTCTCGCCCGGACAATCTAGCAACGGGCTTCTCTTTTCAGAGCTTCTGTCTATCTCATTCTTCTTCTTCTGGAGATCCGAGTGCATTTTCCCGACTTGCCCCATAGATGAGAAGATATAGAGAGGTGAGAGGGTTTGGTTGGAGAAGTAGAACTAAAGCAGAGCATTGATTTGGCACAGTTCGGCCAATCTAGAGAACATCATCATTCATAGAGAATTTTGAGAAACCTTCTACTATAGCAAGGGATTGATATAGCAAGGGCATTTTTGTATTTAATAGAATATCACATCAAAAACCACTTTTTTATCCAATATTCCAACTTTTACATTTTAATTATAATCACTTTTATTCTCAAACACTACCAACTTTTACTACAAATCACTTTTCCAATAATCTCTTAAAAAAATCACTTCTAAAAAGCACAAGCAATCACAAACACTCCCTAAGAATTGGAGGGAAAATTCCCGCTCAAAATAAGGGCAAAATATGGAGTTAATGAAAAAAAACAAATTTGGTAATTAATTATACTAGGTAAGAAATTTTAACCATGATGTACGTAAGTAACGTATCATTCATGCTTTAGAAATGATTTGGTTTCCTTTTATTAAATCTAGACTAGATATTATAATACTACGTACGTATTGCTTTAGTTCATGACTTCATGCATTTGTATACCCAATAACTTTTATTTTAAATATATATGTGCATATATATAATAATAATAATATAATATAAAAATATAATATTATGTCAAAAAAAAATCTTAATTTGGTTGTGTCGAAGTATAAGGTGTTTTTCAAAAAATTCAAGATTCGTTGGAATCAAATGAGTAACATATATATGAACATAATATCTTTATATCTTTATCTTTATATAATATAAAGTAACAAAGTTGGAGTAAGAATTGGAGGGAAAATTCTCGCTCAAAATAAGGGCAAAATATGGAGTTAATGAAAAAAAAAATTGGTAATTAATTATACTAGGTAAGAAATTTTAACCATGATGTACGTAAGTAACGTATCATTCATGCTTTTGAAATGATTTGGTTTCCTTTTATTAAATCTAGACTAGATATTATAATACTACGTATGTATTGCTTTAGTTCATGACTTCATGCATTTGTATACCCAATAACTTTTATTTTAAATATATATGGGAACATATATAATAATAATAATAACAATAATAATAATAATAATAATAATATACAAAAATATAATATTATGTCAAAAAAAATCTTAATTTGGTTGTGTCTCTATCCCAGCAATATTGAGACAAGAGGGTGCGACACTTAGGAAAATGAGTTTATGTGGTTGATTAGAATTGATAAAGTGAATATGATTTAAATTCATACAAATTTATCAAATTATTATAGTAATAGTACTAATAAGAGCAATTAATATCATATGAAAGAACCTCATTAATATTACTAATGAAGTTTTTTATAACTTATAACTTTTATAAGTCATACGGGCTGGTACCTGACCTTATTTTTGTAGGACCGAAGCCCGCCGGGATCGGACCCGGGCCTGACCATAGTCCATCCCTACCCTAAAGTCCAATACCATATTGCATTGTACTAGTATATAATTACTCCGTATAATATACCATATTAATATAACTACTTCGTATATAATACTCAGTCCTGACTCCTAATAATGATGTGGTTAATTTGCACCCGCCATTAATACCAAATCTCAGTCAAACTTTCATAAGCATATGATCATATCAAGTAAAAACAAGATCATTCAAGAAAAAAGATTGAATTTATCATAGTAACGCAAGTATGTGCCGAAATCAAGGTACACCTAATGCCATGGGTAGCAAGACTGCAAGAGTAACAATTGGTATAAAAATGTTGTATTTAACTATTTATGCAACATTCTTGCGCATGACTAGTAGTCTAGTACTCTGTTTGGATGGGGATGAACCTAGATAGATAATTTGATTCGACATATTCAGTGATGTTTGATATTAGTGGTGGACCGGATCGGGTCGGGCCAGGCTCCGGGCTAGGACCGGGCGGGCGTAAGAATTTTAGGCCCGGTACCGGCCCGGGTTTGTACCGGGACAAGGTAGGGTCGGGGTTTGGGACGGGACGGGACTGGGCAATAAAACAAGCCCGAAGCCCGCCCTTATAGCCACCGGGACAGGCGCCGGGTCATGACCAGGCCTATACAGTAGCAGACCGGCCGGGTCAGACCAACCCGTCTCGGTCCATCCCTAGTTCATATTATAAATCTAAATAAGTGGGGTGGTTCATCTGATTGACAACTTCCTCGTTACTCTGAAAAATCAGGAAATTAACAAAATGACCTTTATCTCATATGTTAATGATCTCCACCTGAACTACTGCACAAAATCTGATGTAGTAATATTTATCCAAGGTACACGGTATGTTTGTTATGCCTCCTATACTGCATGTTAAGATAATACGACAAAGAAAATGGTAGCGACATCAGCGGGTTCCATGCGCTGCACTAGGGAGAGATTGAACTCCAGCAACTGCAGCAAGTGGGTTCACCTGGTATGAAAAGGCAAGTTCCCAAAGATCACCCAAAGCCTTCCTCACAGATGAAGCTTGTTTTATAAGAATGCTGTTATTACATTGCAAAACACACGATAGTTTTAGAACTAGTCTACAATCATATAATGCATGCTATCATCAACCAATAAGATATGTAATTAGTTTGAAACTCACACAAGGCGGAAAAATTCTTTAAGAAAAATAAAACAACAAAGTTAAAACGCATCACCGTAATGGGGAAAACAATTTAAATATCCCAAAATTTGGAGTGAGATAAGTATCCCAAACTTGCACATATAATGTATATATATAACTCAAACTTTATATACAAAGTTATATTAGCACCATGATCATATATTTCTTCACAAATATAACTTTTATGGTAATAAGTACATAATTTTAAATACACATAACATTTATGAGGATGCAATTACAATTAAACTGTACCAGATGTAACATTATCTATTTCACAAAATAAATTTTAGACAGTACTGCATTCTAACAATATTTAAAGTATCTTAAATTAAATTATGGTGCCAAAATAACTCTTTATATAATATGCTCGAACTATATATATTACATATGCAAGTTTGGGGTACTTATTTCACACCCCATTATAGTTTGGGGTGTTTAAAATATCCCCCCCCACACACAGTAATTGATTGGTGAGTTTGACAAGAGGCTACTAATCCCTTGTTTCACATCAACTGGCAGTTAAGGATCACACACGGATTAAGAAACTCACTCAACATCTTAAAATCTTGAAAAAGAAAAGTAGCCTGGTAGATAAGATAGGATCTTAGGCTAAAGAGAATAATAATATGAATAATAGAATAATGTTACATAGTGTGTTATTATGTTAAAAGGGGTCTGGGCCTGGTATTATTTAGTTATGAGCCAGCCCGTAAAAAATATTATAAATAGGAGCTGGGAATAGAATAAAGGCAGGCTGGAATTCAATTGGAATTAGGCTGGGAGAGTGAGACCTCTCAAAGAGTCTCAAACTTGTCGTCTCTTTCTACTTTCTTTGTATGCTGGTTTACGGCTTCCTCCAGTGTCGTTTACCTGAGGAATTTCTGAGCTATTCTCTGAATTCTATACCTAATATACCTAAATTCTCCTAGTGTATCTGGATTTTGGTGTTCTCAATATTGGTATCAGAGCACTTTCCTGGAGTCATGATCGGTCGTCCAAGAACATCACCAAGCTTGAATGATGGAGGAATTTTATATATCACCGAGAATGGAGAAGGGTATGGGCAACATTGAGCGACAGTTTGCTTCAGTTTCTTCGGTGACCTAGCGGTCAATCACAGGTAGTAAGGGGCCATCGACCGTCAGAAAGGAAGGGCTCAGCATCGTCGTTCGTCACTTTTCCTAGTTTGCAGTCGCGAACGTCTTCTCCTAGTTCGCCGTCACTAGCAGCTGTTTCCAGTTGGCCATCGCAAACAGCTTCACAACGTTCGTCGACGCCAGCAGCTTCTCACAGTACGTTGCTAGCCGCGTTTCACAGTGTGTCGTCATCAAAAGCTTCTTCCTGTTCGCCAGATTTGCCGCGAGCAGTGTCTCCCAGTCCGCTTTCGCTAGCCATTCTTCATCGATCATCATCATGAGCGATTTCTGCCTGGTCACAGGTGTCCAGTTCGCCTTCTCACACCGGGTCGCTTGTAGCATATCACCCTGCGCAAGTTTCAAAGCCGACAATAAACACTGAATTGAAGCCTGCTGAACCATCAATCACTGAATTGAATCCGAACGATGATCTTACTCGACCTACGGAATCTCCACCAGATATTCAGAATGACCCGAACAAGCCTGGGGTGGAAGACAATGGAATGCATCCACGTAAAGTAGATCCAGCCCAAGTGGAGCCTCCCGTTTTGGCAAAGCAATTGATGATAGATAATCCACAGAATGGTGCATTCGAAGGATCAGTTTTCATTAACTCAAATGTCAAGCCTGGGAGGGTAGTAAACGGGAAGGTGGCTACTGTTGACGGTCTTTGTGCCAGTGGGAATTTTGCAATGGGTGTGAAAGTAAATTGTCCTCTAGGACATATGACAGGATTTGAAATAGTAAAGCCTACAAAGAAGTTTGAGGTGGGGTCTGAATTAGTCTCAAGTGTGCTGGGTTGCAAGTCCAAACGGAGTACAATTACCAATAAGAAAACTCTTGTTGAATCTAAACATGGAATCCTCAGCTCATACGCTGATGTTACTGAGGAACGTACCTGGGAGTCCTTCCAGGCAGCTGTGATTCGAAGGGTTCAACCAGAGCTGGTTGGCTGGGAAATACCCTTACAATTCACTTCTAAGAACTCTCTGACTGAACCTTATGTTGCACACACCATTCTGGCAGTTAATTCAGTGAATCTGCTATCAACTTTGGAAACAGCACACTGATTAGGGATGTTGACAGAGCAATTACAAAGGATGATGCTACTGGTGAAGAGAATGGAAACTTCCAGAGGCGCGGCTACTGGTTGCTTAAAGAGGAGCAGTCAAACAATGTTCTAGCGCACTACGGGGAAGTAAGGGTAGCAGGAGGAACTATAGTCTTACACGAGAACTTCAATTAGTTATTCCCACTTTTCCAGATGGTGAAGAAGATGTGAACAGCTCTGAAGTGGGCACTACACTTTCTTCAAAACCCCAACAATATGATTACCAACCAACATCACATGCTACAGATACAGCTAGCCTTAACAGTGCTCAAGCCAAAGCTAAGTTAAAAGTGCACAATCAACAATCAATTTCTGGGATGCACTCTTTTACTGAGTGTCATGCAATTATGACCCCCAAGGTTGAAGATGGCCAATTTCCGGCCGTTTCTGAAAAGATTACTGCAACTTATGGGTATGTACCATATCAAAAGTCACTTTCCACATCTCAATCTGTTTCCATAAGCAAGATGAATGGGAAAGGGAGTGCTATGATTAGCTTCGCAAAGGCTCTAAAAGAATGGGAGCTCCTAAAGGTGAACCAATCAAACTGTTAAAGTGGTTTGTGGTCTTGTGGATCTGAAGGCTGAACTGAACCCAGGAAATGGGTTTTCTAGCAAGTTATATACACATGAGAACTATGGCGAGCAATGTTCAAACTTCAAACCAACAGTTTCAAAGATGGAAGTATGCTAACTTGAAGTGGTTTAAAGGTGGCAAAAAGGGGTACGGGCTCTGCAAGTTCTGGAAGCTGTATCTGAAGGGTGCTTTATCATTGAATACATTGAAGAGGTGCTTGATATGCATGCATATGAGGCACGTCAAAAGGAACATGCACTGAATGGTCTACAACATTTCTACTTTACGACACTCAGTAATAGAGAGATAATTGATACATGTGCAGATGTGCTAAAGGGAACTTGGGACACTTTATAAATTACAGCTATGATCTTAACTGCAGTCTGCAGTACAGAAAAGTGGATGGTAAATGAAGAAGTTTGCATGGGTTGTTTGCAGTAAGGGACATCAAGAAGGGTGAAGAGTTAGCATCAAACTATGAGGAACCTCATGAAAATAAGGGACATTTGTCACTATTGAGTGCTAGGAGGATACTGAAAATAATGAAGCTTCACTAGACATCTCTTCTGTGACAGAAAGATCTATGATTTGGAAGGATCAAGTACTGAAGCTCATGGTTCAGAAAGCAGTGACGGAAGCAAGAGGCGCAAAGATGAAGCTGGGGGTCAAAGCGGTTTCCTATCACCCACCTTGAGGAAAAGGTGGTTGTCTAAGGGGGGAGGTATGATAGGATCATGGGCTAAAGAGAATAATTATAATAAGAATAATAAAATAATGTTACATAGTGTGTTATCATGTTAAAAGGGGGTCCGGACCTGGTATTTTAGTTATGAATCGTCCAGCCCGTCTTGTAAGAAAATATTATAAATAGGAGCAGGGAATAGTATAAAGGTAGGCTGGAATTCAGTTGAATATAGGCTGGGAGAGTGAAGCCACTCGAAGAATCTCAAACCTGTCATCTCTTTTTTTTTTTTTGGAACGCTGGTTTACGGCTTCCTCCAGTGTCGTTTACTTGAGGATTTTCTGAGCTATTCTCTGAATTCTATACTTCATATACCTAAATTCTCCTGTTGTGTATCTGGATTTTGGTGTTCTCTATCAAGTGTATACCTAAACAGGCCTTAATTAATAAGACAGATCCTTGGAAATATTATTTTTACCCATATGGACAGGTATCATTCTAAATCTTAAAATTTAGGTCTCCAATAGTTTCATCAAAGGTCTCAAGACTCAAGCTATATTCAATTGGCACCATTTTGAGATAAATGAACTCAAAAACAAATCACCCATTTTGTAGTCTAGTCTCAGGCTACCTTTATTTTATGTTAACCTTTTTCTTTCTATCTTATCTTTTACCCACCTAAATATTTCCTTCAGCCCAGTCCAATCACTTTTCTACTCAATCCAACATAAATTCCAAAATCAGCCCCTAAGTAGCAAAATTGAGGGGAAAAAATAGAGTAACCAATCTTTGGGAAAAAAGGCACTGGCAGTTGGATATGTAGTAAAATTTGAGCATGCCTTACCTCTTAAAATTTGACTTCCTCCTCATGAGATGAAATAAGCTAAGAGCTAGAAAGCATAGGAAAATATTTCCATTTGATATGATGAATCGAGTACTCCTAAACTTCAAACTTATGGTGCGGAACCACCAACAGGATCCTCTCTTTTTGTACATTTCAATAAGCGCTTGTTTTGAATTATTCTCCAGATCGTTTGCAGAACCAGTTTTTTCATCCTTTGTGGAAGAAGATTGAGGCACATGTTCATCTATTTGCAATAGTGATGCATTGGACTCTGATGAACTGCCGAGTTCAGAAGTGTTCATGGAGTATAATTGTCTCAACAGATTCTGGAAAAAAAACCATACAGGAATAGTCAGTCAACTATGGATACACTTTCTTAAAAATGCTACACTATAAAATGAAATAAAAGATCCTCAAGAAAATGGTGATTAGAAAATGGTGTGTCCAACATCTAAATGCTCAAGAGTTATGTTATGTTCTAGGGGAAATGTACAGAGCAAGAATATAGGGGTAAACTTTAAAGGTTGACATACAACAAAGCATTATTTCACACAAGTAACTAAATTTTGAAGGATTAAAAACAATGGATAACAATGATATATTGCATTTAGATGTTGGACATTATGCCAACATTGTTAAAGAACTTCATGCTCCATATATGATAGGAAATACAAATGGAATGTTATTAAGTGCAATAAGAATTCAAAGCAGCTACAACAACAAAGCATGTGCCAGATTAAATGTGGTCATATCCCATCCATTAGAAATTAGTATAGACATTGGAAACAAATCTCAAACAATAATGTTTTCAGACTTAGTATGGACATCAAGAGATCTTAATTCAAGCAGGAAAGCACACTAGGTAGTGAGGAAAAAGATGTTTTGGAAAACTACGTCCAAAATTCCCATAATTCCCAGGCTTGGTAAATTCTCTCTCACAATATCACCAAAAAGTTTGTTTAGTAGTATCATTGAAAATGCCAACTAAAATCCTAAGGAAATGTCAAAAGAGAATATGAGGGAAAAATATTGACCTGACGCTTTTTCTCGGGTAAACTGGCTTTCTCAACCCATGAGATTGCAAGATCAACATTCTTTATAGTTCTTCCAAGAAATGTTATCACATAGAGCTCAACAACTTTCAGATATTCATCAACTCCCAACACATGCTGCTTACTGAAGCTCTCTCCATGAGCAACGTCACCTTCAACACTTCGAGAAGCATAATAATTTGCCTCCATGTATTTCCATTTGCTAAGAAATTCATCAAGAACTTCTTGAAAATCAGAAGAAATGTCGTCAGGTATTTGGAAACATGCCCTGTTCAAGAAGGTTTAACGTCACCTTCTATAAAACACATTGAAGTTTTAAGGACTTCAATGAAAATGTGTATGCCCAATGTGTATACTAAGGTATGTGGGTGAACTAGGTCTTAGTTTCAACTAAATTTGTTCCGTAAATAGGCAAAAAATGGAGTTAATGTTTTAAGGAAATTCTGTATTTCTACTTTCTGCAAGCCATTTTCATAGGCCAAATGATTCGATACTAAATTAAAAATATAGTAATTAGCAAGAGGCCAAGAACATATAAATGAGGTCATTGATGAGATGAAAGTGTGATATAATAAGGGTACCAGGTAAAAAAGACTTGAAAAGGGATGGTAGTGACTGAACCAAACAACAACTTAAGTTCTTTCAGTACTTGTGATGCCCTGCAAACAAACCAAAAATCAAATTCATATTGGTCTACACCAAGGGCTGAAAGGTTGCACTTTTATATTTAATTTTTTACAAAATAAATAACTACTCATAGATAAAGATCCAGTCTGCAAAATTCGAGATACTACCAACATTTCTAGTCTATTAAATGGGAAAAAAATAATATACTATATAATTTTAAATTTTGAATTGGAGGTACCTTCCAAGTTGATTCAAGGACTGAACAAAGACCATTCCAGCTGACTGCAACATATCATCCAACTCATCACTACTCTTGTGAGAACTAATACCTTCTAACAAACGCTTCAGTATAGAGTGGGATAAAGATGCAGCATCATGGTACATACAGCACACAAGGTAGCTGCAAAACTCAATTTAAAGACGAAAAATGTGAATTCATTGAATATCGGAGATAGATAACGAGGTACGAAAGGGGCAAAAGATTTGACCTTTCGGCGAGTTCAATATCTGCCCAACATGGATGAATTGCCGCGTTGAATGCGGATTCTACTTCTTCCATGTCTTAGTAGGAACAAGTTTATGAAGCCACCTGATAAGAGATGAATGGGGGGACTTGATTTGATGGGACTGAACCAAGGGGTGGATCCAGTTTTGGCATCCAGGGGGCAAAATTTAATTAAATAAGGTATATTGCAACAAAAAAAAATCACCGTTTTAGCAAAACAACATGAACGGTCAAAATAGATACAAAAAGTCATGCTTAGTGAAATATGGTTTGTCATATGAAATATGTGCATGATCTTGTCTTGACTCTAGGCGGAGCCAAGGGAGATAAGAGTGGTCAGAGAACCCCTTGAAACAACAAAAGAACATACTCCCTCCGTAACTTAAAAATCTTCCCACTTTCCTTTTTTGTCCGTAACACAAAAATCTTCTCATTTCTAAATCTTCCCATCATACCCTCAATAATTCTTAAAATAATACACTATTACAACTACTTTTTTTGGATTTATCCTACATTCCACCACATTATTCCACTATTTTCCCATCATACCCTCAATAATTCATATCATCTTTCACTATTCTTAATCTACCTACTTTTGAAATGGGAAGATTCTAAAGTTACGGAGGGAGTATATTGCAACAAAAAAACCAAAGAAAAAAAATATTACCGAAACAAGAGTTTTAGTCAAAGTCAACTATAAAAATTACACAACTTTACAACTTAACAATTGTTCTTTACATATTTTCATCAATCGATATCGTTTGAGAATGAGTCAATTTTCAAGAAGATGTCCTTTTCTTTCTAACGTGATCTCTGGTGTTTGGGAAGAATCAAACTCTTCAACGATATTTGGGAAGAATCAAACCCTTCAACTAATACTAATACTAACTAACTAAATAACGAGAGGAATAGTAACAATTCACAATCAAACTCATACCAATATAAATGATGCTCACAAATGACGAATTGGAGCTTACAAATCACATTCATAATAAATGCTAAAAGAGTTAGAATACTAATCTATTGAATCCTAAGGGGGTGTCCCCAACATAGATTTTAAAATATTTCTAAAGATTGAAAATCTCTTGGATTTTAATAGATTTCGAGAGATTCCATGGAATTTTAATAAAATCTTATGGAATTCTAGATCATTGATTTCTATAGATTTTAATGGATTTTAACACATTTTTTACATCCCACCTCTTCGTTTGATGCTGCTGCTGAGGACCGTGTAAATAATTAGGGAACTGTAAAAGAGGAGTTGCAGATGTATAATCATAATTATCTTGAACGACCATACAGTTTTGTTTTAAAAGAACTTCGTAGAAAGAAAGATAAGACATAAGGCTTCGACCAGGGTGGGTTTCCAAAGGAGCTTACAAAGCAGCTGACACTTGGACTTCAAACTGAAACTTGTAAAATCTCTGCTATTGCTCACTGAAAAGGTCGGGATTGGATTCTTTTAAAAATTGAAATTCTTGAGAGTGGCTTCTTTGTGAAGAAACGCACTTGAGAGCAGTGGAAAAAGAGAAACCGGGAGAAGTGTGAATGTGGCAGGAGGCGGAAGTTACGTATTAGATGGAGAGAAATGTTACATGTACACGGCATTCTACACATCATTCTACACATCATAAAAAAGCCTCACCTCCTCCCTTTTCTAACTCATTTAACCCCCACCACCCTCTCTCCTCTATTTCAAACGTAGGCCTCTGCGCATCAAACGAACTGTCTGTGCCATTATTTTCGTTTGTCTGTGAGCTCTTCCTTCTCTACACTGGTGGTCTCCTCCGTCACCGGTGGTGATCGAGTGTGTATGGCGGCAACGACGAACGCCATGGAAGCTAACAGACACGACGGCGACGACGAAGCGGGCCTGGGGTGGACATGGGAGGATATATTCGGCCCGAGTCCCGCTAACACGCCTGAGGTGCTGGAAGAGCGTGCAGTATCGCTGGAGGGAGGGATGCAAGATGATGAAGACACGACGGAGAATATACGACGGAGGGAAGGAGTTGAAGACACTCTGGCTGCCATGCAACGCGATGAGGAGGCACCGGATGGTAACACTGTGAAGGCTGAGCAAGGTAGGTGATTATGTAGTGTCCTTTCTTCATGGTTCACAAAGCACAGACAAATAATATTGTTTGTTTTTGTATGTAGACAATTACAAATGTATTATTGAATTTGGGAACATTATGAAGTTCATAGTCTTCTTTTAGAATGTGAGTATAATACGTAGAGCGTTTTTAGAATGTCATTATAATACTATTTCGTTTGTCTGTATTTCATTTTATAACGTCTCTATTTAATATTATTTTATTCATACGTTCTTGTAATTTGTTTGATCATTATTTGAACTGGTCAGTATTTCATTTGATACTGTCTGCATTGTATAATATTTTATTCATTTGTTCTTGTAATTTGTTTGATCATTATTTGAACTTGTCTGTATTTCATTTCATACTGTCTGCATACTATAATATTTTATTCATATGTTCTTGTAATTTCTTTGATCATTATTTGAACTTGTCTGTATTTCATTTCATACTGTATGCATTCTATAATATTTCATTCATATGTTCTTGTAATTTCTTTGATCATTATTTGAACTTGTCCAGTATTTCATTTCATACTGTCTGCATTCTATCATATTTTATTCATATGTTGTAATTTCTTTGATCATTATTTGAACTTGTCTGTATTTCATTGATACTGTCTGCATTCTATAATCTTTTATTCATTTGTCTGTATAGTATTGATGAATAATGTCTGTATTTATATAAATTAGTCTATGTATACATATTCATTAGTCTGTGTATGAATTCACAGATGCATATGCACAGGAAGAAGAGCAAGAAGATGTTAGTGTGGTTGTTCCGAAAGTGGGCATGAAGTTTGCAAGCACAGACGTGGTGTATGAGTTTTACAAAAAATATGGTAGGAGTGTAGGATTCCCGATTAGAAAAAGAACATCTACTAAGGATAGATCCAAGGGTGCTGTAGTGTCAATAGTGATAGAGTGTTCACGGGCGGGAAGTACAGGTAGCAAGACACTAAACTGTTTGAAACCTCAAGCTTCAATGCAAACATCTTGTACCGCAAGAATTAGAGCACGCACTACTTATGTTGGGTCATGGGAAATTTCACAAGTGTTTTTAGAACAAAATCACCCCAAAATATTTATCTACCACCCCCAACCGTTCTTCATGAAGATCATACGTAGGCCACTCCATCGGATCATGTATGCCACTAATCCTCTTGAAGTCCTGGTATGTGAACTTGAGCAACTTGCCATCGACTGCAAACCATAACTCATCTTCCGGCTGGTCACGCACAAGGCGTAACAGCAACAAATGAATGAGTTGCGCAGAAAATTGCATAGGTGGAGCATCGGGCAAATGGCCCCATGGAGTTTTAATAAGCATACTCATTTGTTTCAGCGTCAAGCATTCGCTCAATAGTTCCAGTGCTTCAGGAAATGCGGACCTTACAGAATACTGAGCAGGGAAGTAATCTTTAAGAGGAATTTTCAATTCCATCCTGAAAATAATAACACGGACATTTGTTAAACACTTGGACATCTTATGTACACACAAAAATGATGGACACAGACATCTTACTACCACACAAAAATAATAACACAGACATTTGTTAAACACTTAGACATCTTATGTTTCAGCTCAGGAAAACAAAGGAAAACATTAATGACACAATTCAAACATCTTACTACCACACAGACACACTACACAGACAAGCCTACACAGACAGCTTTAAAGTAAAAGAACACACTAGACAGACAACTCAACAATGGTATACAGGCTACTCTAAATTCGTGTATAGACAAGTGCATAGGACATACACTACACAGACATCTCACAAATGACAACAACATTTAAGAACACACTAGACAGACAACTCTAGAGAACCATAAAGACAACTGTCATATGCGCAGGCGTGTAAGACCACACTACACAGACATCTCACAATTGACAACATTTAAGACCACATTACACAGACATCTCACAAATGACAACATTTAAGAACACACTACACAGACAAGTCTAGAAAACCATAAAGACAACTGTCATCTGCGCAAGCGTGTAAGACCACACTACAAAGACATCTTACAAATGACAACAACATTTAAGAACACACTACACAGACATCTGAAAAACCGCAAACATATGAACACACTGAACAGGTAACATCTGAAAAAATGGAATAAAGAGCTAACTCCAAACACTGTCAAAATCAAAACATGAGAAAATACGGTTTTACTCCAAACAAAAAATACAATATACACTACAAAATGGTACAAATCAAGCACATAATACCAAGAACAACAAATAAACTTCAAAATAATTCATGCATGTCAATAGTCCACCGAAAAACAGCCAAGAACAAACATAAACTCAAAAATACAAGTGCTAGCCTCCAAAAAAAATAAGGGAAAAATTAAGTGAGAAATTAACTCAAAACAAGGTTAGAAAAAAATACCTTTGAGCCATTTCTGTAAGGGAACTGCGAACCATTTCCTCAAGTGGACCGTCTCACTTTCGCAGATGCTCGGAGACACCAGAGCGAGGGTGGAAGTAGCGACGGACTTCGGTAGGGTAGAGAGGGGGAGCGCCGTGCTTCTGTCGATGGAGGGAGAGGAGTGGGTTGAAGCCGTTTCTCGGAGACGCCGGAGCGAGGGAGAGGAGGGAGAGGAGTGGGATGCGGGAAAGAGAAGAGGGAGAGTGGGATGCGGGAAAGAGAAGAAAGGGGGTGGGAGGCGCACGTGACAGGATTCAAATTAGGGGTGGGGGGTTAAATGGGTTAGAAAAGGGAGGAGGTGGGGCTTTTTTATGATGTGTAGAATGCTGTGTACATATAGCATTTCTCTTAGATGGATTTGGAAATCCGAGCATTATGGGAGAAATTGTGTTGGATTGATTTGTTATACTATTTGGCATAGAATCCATCAAAATCCATATTGACTTTTGACTTTTAAAGACTCAATAAAAATCCATATGGAGTATAACCAGATTTTGATGTAATTTTAAGGGGGTGTTTGTAACTTATTCTAATTCTCCCTCTTTTTTAAAGAAGAAGCAGAATAAAAATCAGTTTTCAGAAGCTTGTCACCCCCAACTTTTAAAATAATTGTTTCTAGGAGTAAATTAGAGCACTAGAATCACTTCTACACTTTCAGCCAAACACTCCAGCTTCTGATTCTACTCTTTCAGGGAGCAAAATCAGTTTTAAGAATCAGATCCAAACACCCCTAAACACACAGCTAAACTGAATAATATAAAAAATACAATAAAATTAAACAATTAAGAAATTTACCTGCTATTCGGGAGAGGAGGCTGTGGAGTGTCGAGTAGGCGAGTAGCGACTAGAGAAAGAGAATAGGAGTTAGAGGTGCTCACTTCTCAGCCTCCGTGTCCCAACGTTCTGACGGCCGACCAGTCGCGGGAGTAGCGATTGGCCGATTTAATTTCCGATTAGCGATTCCGTGACGGAGTTTGGGCGGCTGCGTCGTGCTTTGGACAATTGGAGTAGCACATGCGTGTGAATGATTGGTATTTGGTATTTAGTCGATTTTAGTTCGTTTTTTCAGTTTATTATACTTATCACTTAACTTTTTCATCAAACATGTAATTTTTGTTTTCGTGTATTTAATTATGTAATTAGCAGAAAAATTAAGTTTGAGTTACTTTTCTAGTTGTATTGAATGAAGTTACTGTATATGACCATTTTAGCTATTTTACATATAAAAAAATCTTCTAGTATAGTACCCGTGCATGCGCACAGGAAAGAGAGGTCAAATTTCAATCATTCATCTTATTTTGAGTTACGTTTTTGTTGATGGTTTTTTTTATTAATTATTATCTATAGATATGCTAAATATGTAGGAATTATCATGACATGCAAAGAAAATTTGACTCCGAAAATACAAAGAGAAACAAAAAGTTGAAGAGAGACCGGGTTATCAAATGCTTGCCAACTCTATGAATCGATTGTAAAGACCAATTGTCATCCACAAAATTGTTGGCAATGACAATGGGATGTTGAATTGCTAGCTATTTTGCCTTGTTTTTATGACTATGTGTTACATAAATCACATTAATAAGATATGTATCAAAATAAGTGTCACACTTTTTTGTATTAAAATAAGTGTCAAATAAAGTTCCATTTTTGGAAGAAGTCCACCCCAAAAGCCACTTTAATAAAGTAAACAGTACAACTAAAGTACCAAAAATCTCCTAGTTTTAAATTATGAAAAAAACCTAGTCGGTCACTTATTATGATACATGAGTATTATTAAACGTACGTTTTTTGCCTAGGGCCTCCAAAACGGTAGAGCTAGCCATGCTAAGAAGCAAAAAACGAGTTCAATTGACTTGTTTATGTGAATAATCATCCCTTCTCGCTTCCTAAATTAAACATACAGATTTCCACATTTTCTAAACAATGTTTCAATTTCAAGAACACGAAGTAATGCTAAAAATATCACAAACAAGGAAGCAAAAAAAGTTTTGCAACCCTAATATGTAAAGTTTTTCTTCTCTATTTTGAAATCCTTGACGACTTGTAAAAAGTAATCCCTCCCTTTAAAACACCCTAGAGAGCTCTTGTTTCTCTCTAAAAACTTAGCGGCCGTCTCCCCTCTTTGTAGGGGTTGAGTTTTTTTGTCGCCCCTGTCAATATGGGGTTGGAGCAGTAAATTATTCTGATTGCAAGTGTTCTAATGTTTGGGATTGCAACTACGTCGAAAGAGATGACGTTGGCAGATAAACGGATTGCGGCTGAGAGTTTGTATCGATGCTGGATTGTGAATTTTTGGTCGGCCGCTCCGGTGGTGGAGGAGTTGGTATTCACCATATTGCAAGAGCTCGTGCTCCTCCGGAACCACCTCAATACCAGGAAGAGTTTTGTGGAAAGATTTCATTTCAATATTATTTTCTCTTTAGTATTACTTGTTTTTGTTTTAGTCCGATTAGATTTGGTTTGAATGTTTGGGTTTTGGGAGTTCTTTTGATAGTCAAGGTTTCAAATCCGTTCGTTTTGGCTTAAATTTGTCCGTTTCAGGTTTAACGAGTCAGGTTGCTTTGTATGAGGTGGTTGATTCTATGTCTACTCACAGGGTTCACGGCTGGATCTGTAAAATCCGTCTGAAGATTGTCTTGTATGTGTTCTCGATTTTAATATAAAGCCATCTGTTTTACGATAAAAAAATGTTTTTCTCTCTCGAAAGAGGACATGGATAAAAATTCAATTAAAAAAAGAAGAAGACATCAAGTGAGGGAACCAAAACTATGATTAGTTTCAGAAATGCGAACTTTAATGCAAATAAATAAAAAATCTAAAAGATATGCTTGCGGTTAAAATATCAAACTCATCTGTAACTGTTGTTCGAGGAGTTGGTGCTGATACGGAACTACTTCAGCTCCTAGGTAACCTCCCACACGGAAATCCACATTTGGAGTTACATCGCTTTGAATTTAAGAACTGTCAATCCTGATGCCAATGCCGGCATACCTTTTCACGAGCTCCATCATGAGTTTCCTATATTTAAGAACAAGTCTTGGTTCGTTGCGATGCAAAAATGGCTGTCCGTCACCGACAGGTCGCAACCCTGAATGATGTCAAACGATAGGCTAGACGCTCGAACAATCGAAAGCTGGAATGCACATCCACGGAGACTCCTTGTCGTGATGTTGAGAACACCATCACCTGTCCCAGACTCTGCTCCAACGGCGTGTCCCGTTGTCCTCCAATCGCCCAGGTCAGGTGCTCAAAAGGAGCCCCAATTCGACGGAAATCACCGATCGGGAGCTTCACTCCCAAGTCGTGGATCTTGTCCCTCTTAAAGGAACCATTAACTGATGATATACTTGGATTATAAGAGACGAAGAGGTATGTGGCGAGATGATAAGAGAGACAAAAATATGAATAGACGGAAGAGGTTGGCAGAACCTATCTAAAACTGAAGAGGTTGGCAAGCTCCAGGATAGTGGAGCGGAGGCAGTACTTGAAGAGGTTATTACAATCAGCAGCTAAATAGGGGAATAGAAGCGGAGGCGGACCTGAGGTGGATAAGAGCAGGAGCAGGAGCATTCAGGGGAGGATGACATGGCTCTGGACGAATAAAAAACAGGGAAGAGACGGGCTGGAGCACCCAGACCCGCCAACACCCGTGAAGATCGCGAGCTTTTGGCAGATTGGAGTTATTTATGACTTTAAACTTGTTTTTGTTGCAATTGTTTTTCGTTTCGGACATGGTGTGTTTTTGTTTGCTATCGTTTTTATTTTTGTCAAAACTCTAGAACACAAGACAAGTGGCGGAGAGCTTAGTTTGCTAGTCACTGGCTCAGGTATGCAAAATCCAGGATCAACGAATCTGGTTACTTCTTTTAAGGTGACGTTTTCTAAGTTTGGTTCAAGGGCAGACGGTAGACATGAGGTTCTTTGTCTGTTTGTAACCTACTTACGTTCATTCTTATTAATATAAGTCACCTTCTCCCCAAAAAAGTTAATGTATTTCTTAAAATTGATTAAGGATGAATCACATAATCAAATATTTTCGGCACAATAATTGCTTTACATGAAATATAATTATTTTGAACTTTTTTAAATTATACGTAGTATATGATGAAATTGGCTGAAATGTTAATTCTTGTGAAATTTATGAACTTCCGATTGAAGTGGCTGTATCGGGCTGATTCTGCTGATTTGTGACTAAATTATATTTAAAATATATTTTGTTAATAAAATAAATAAAAAATTATATGGGGAAATAGCTAAAATAGTCATCTACAGTAACTTCAACCAATACAGCTAGAAAAGTAACTACAACCTTACCTTTTGTTATTATTATTCGATTCAGCGTGCGAAATAAAAAGTTATTTCATTAGCTATTTACGAAATTCTCCTAACAATTTTGTAGACCTGCACAAAACCGGACCGGCCCACCCGGCCCGGCCATCCACCTGCACAAATGGGCGGGCTTGGGCATATATATATTTGCCCACCAGGCCGGCCCGGGTTCGGCCCGCAATAACATATGGGCGGGCTTGAGTTAGGGTGTAGGCCCGTTCGGGCCGATAAGCCCGGCCCGCTACATTTAGTATATATACATACATAGTATATATTTATATATATATATATATATACTAATCTATTTATTATTGATTTATTTACATGTACATATGTATATTTATATTTACTAATTTATCTCTATACATATTTATAGTTTATCATGTTCAAAATTTAAGTTTTTAGTTCTTAACAACTAGCCCAACCAATATAATATCCGTTTTGTACTTAAAGATAATACTCTGTGCTTGAATTTTAAATTTTAGATATATTTTTTTATTATTATTTTTGTGTATGCGATGAAAGGCCTATAAACATTATAAGCGTATTAGCAATTTTTAAATGTCATAATATTACTTATAAAGTATTACATATATATATATATATATATATATATATATATATATATATATAATTTTGAAAATTTTAAAATTTTCCCGGGCCGAGCAGCCCGGTGTACTACCCGGCCTGCTCTTACGGGCGGGTATGGACATGGGGTTTGACCCACTTTTGCGGGCCGGGCCAGGCCCGCCCACAAATGATGGGCAGAAAATTTATACAAAGTCTGACTTGAGCTCGGCCCGGACCCGTTTTCGTTAAGGTCTACAATTTTGCATATGACAATTTTCTTTTATAAAACAACATTATTTTAATATTGGACAAATATTCTCGCGACTTGTACGAATAATCGCTAATAGAATTTATACAAAAACAAACATTTAATCATTTTATGGATGCAAAAATAAACACTTGACCTATAAATTCCAGTCCAGCTGGTTGCGAGGTTACCGTGCCTAGTGAGAGGTCTCGAGTTCGAAACCCGCTAGGCACATAGGGGGTTGAAACTCAATGGAGTGGGTTTCAGCCCCTATTACTCCAGGCTCCCCCCAGCCCCCCTCCCCCCGGAGTAAAAACAAAAAACAAAAAAAACGAAAAAAAAACACTTGACCTATAAATTTATTGGCTTGAATAAGAGATTTGTTTATAGGAAAAAATATTGAAACATCAAACACTCAAAAGCGTTATTTTTTAACTGTCCCATAGGTTATTTAAAAAAACTGTCCCATATTATAGGTTTTCAAACGTATAAGTAAAACTTAAACATAATTGCACAAATAGGAGTCAAACTTAAAACTTCCTTCAATAGGAGTAAACATTAATTTTGTACCCTTAATACCCCTAACCGAGTTAATTCTAAAATATGACTTATTTGATCCTAATAAAATATAAAAAAATTCTAAAATATTTGAAAATATATATTGAAATAATAAAAATTAAAAAAAATATTTTTTTAAAAAAATAAAAAATTTAAAATAAATAAAAAATAGATAAACCACATTAAAAAATATAAAAAATTATGCAGGCCTTTGCCGCAACCTCGGCCATCACCCAACGATGTCACATCCGATCGGCGAAAAAAATGTCATCTTATGTTAAAACTTTCATTTTTCTTTGAAAATGCCATAAAGATGGCAGTTTTGCTCTTTGAAAATGCCAAATTTTCTCAAAATCTGCCATCATGATGGCATTTCGGAAAAATGTTGGCATTTTTTTCGGTGGTCGGAGCTGGTGGTGCTGGAAGGTTATTGAGGCGGCGGCAGACGCCTACATTTTTTTTTAGCTTTTTTTTTTAAATTTTAATTTTTTAGTTTTTTATTTAATATTTTTTATTTTAATAATTTTTACTTTTATTAATTTTATTTAATACGAAGTATGTTTTATTTGGTATATTTTTGTGCCTTTTCATTTTTTTACAATTTTATTATAAATTAATGTTATTCCTTTTATGTTTTAATTATTAATGAAAGTTGTTGAGACTTGGGTAATGATATACTTGTCTAAACATTAATGTTACTCCTATTCAAAACATGGTACTCCTATTTTTGCATTTTGCCTATCTTTTACTCCTGTTTGGGGAATTCTCTATAATTTTAATTCAATGATAAAAAAAACGTATAATTTTAATTCAGGATAAAACTCTTTAGAATCATTTATGACCAATTGACCAGTTTAGTTCACCCTGCCCTCCAAGCAAAGTGGCGCCATTAGCCACCCTAAATTAGCATGAGACCTTTTTGGTGTACTCTAATAAATTGCATTACATGTGTACACAAGTATGTACACAAACTAGGATTTTTTTAGACATCAAATGCCCCACCCCTTTTAAAAGAAATGTTTTGTGTATATACAAAAATATGTACAGTAACAATTTTTCAATTAGTATTGATATAGCTAGGGCCTAGGCACTCCAAAGTACTACACAGCAATCGATGGCCGAAGTCATGGATGCGCCTGTCGAAGGCGTGGATCGCCGTCGTGAACGGAGTAAGGACAAGTCCGCCGACGAGCTCGAGCCTCCTCCTCCACCTCCTCCTCAGCTACGGCGAGGCCGTGACCGGGACTCTCGGGAACGGAGGGACGACAGGGACTCTGACAGAAGAGGTAGCCGAGGGGACTACTCCGACCGTAAACGGTCCCCTCCGCCTCCGCAGCTTCGGGAGCGTGACTACAAGCGGAGTCGCCCTAGCTCCAGCCCTCCCCCACCCTACCGTGATCGGCGAGGCGGCCGCTCTCCCCCCTCACGACGCTCGCCACATTATTCTTCCAAGCGCTCTAGGAGAGATGAGTATGATGGCCGACGTGGAAGCCCTAGAGGAGGATACGGACCTGGTGAACAGAGGTCAGTATTGTTCCATGTTTCTCTATATAGCCCTCTAATATGTGGCCCAAAACTACCATGACGACCCAAAAACACCAGGAGCATGGAAGTATAAAGCAGAACATAGAAGTGAGCTGTAGAGAGGCCGTAGGTAATGTTAGATAGAAACAAATAATGGCAATGGGTCTAAACTGACTCCTTGCCCACTCTGCTGCCTACTGCGTTTCTACAATGATCGGATCAAGTGCAATACACACGTGTACCTTAGGAGTCCAGTTGAAATGGATAAAAAGCAGGGTTGCATAACTGATATCAGAAATCTGAACTACATTGCATTGGGTCAGGCTTTTAAGCTTTTTTGTTCCTTCAAAAATGAAATTAGCCAACATGGCAACATCCTTATCATATAAGGAAGCAGTCCAAATGGCTTCTGCCCTTACATGAGTAACTAATAGTGATGCCATCTAAGGGGCAAGAGAAAATTCCTTACTAAAAAACACAGGTTAAATGCACAAATAGGACTACCAATGTTTTTTTCTTAAAATAAGACTCATTCACTTCTATTTGAGGTAGTTTTATACTTTTAATAGGATCAAATAAGTCATATTATGGGAATTAAACATAAGTACTCATATTTGTGCATTTTGTCTATGTTTTAGTCCTATTTGGAGCAATTTCTTTAGGCCTACTTTCGCTTTACAATAAGTAAAACCACAACTTTTGACCTCACTTGATTTTTCTGTGTCAATGGGCATAGTATTGGAAATCATTTTGCTTGTGTTTCCTGCATTGCTCATTTTTAGATACTTGCAAGTTTCTCTAATGCCTTACTACATACTTTAGGGCCAGCGTAATTTGAGCATAAAAACGGCCACTGGGTACATTGTAATGTTTTTATAAAATACAGAGTAGTATTTTTCATAGCAATTCAATGAACAATACTAAATTTTGTTTAAAATGAAATAATGAAAATGTACTTGCATAATGAAATAACATACACCATCATGCTCCATATAATATAACTAATTAAATACCACAACCTTACATTTTTACCCAAAAGCACCGAACATTCAATATAATCAAGACATTAAATAATAAATGAACTGCTTATTTGTTGGATTTTGTTACAATGCAGTGCAAAACTATACCAATTTCAATAAAAATGTAACATAAAATATACTTCCTCTTTTCCTTTTTAATTGCAACGGTCCACTTTTCACGTTTACCAATGCACAAGTCTGACCATTAATAACTTTCACTCTTTATTATTAAAATGAGATGATTTTAAGAATATTTTTCAAAAATTTAATATATAATATATTTATACATAAAATGTAATCAAAGTATAGTATGTGAATAGTGCAAAATTCACCAATGTTGCAACTAAAAAAGAACGGAGGTAGTATTTAGTAGTTTAGATGCCCCTCTCCATCCCCAAAATGTCATGTTTGAAATTTAGAATTAGGCATAACTTTTTTCTTCTATTCAACATAACCATGATTCAAAATTTAACAATTTATGTTTGACCACTAATACCATTTACATTTTCACTCGCATTAACAAAATTATTTGTAGTTGACCTTTTTCCAAGAGTATGAATGATTGGTTTTGCTAGAACTTACTTAAAAATCTAACTTGGTTCTTAAAGTGTTTTTTGCGGCTCTAATTATGAAACATGTTTTTTTGGAATCGAGTACATTCTAATCTAGCAATAAACAAACAAACGAGTATTGTACTATTATACACGTTTGTGTGTGTGTGTGTGTGTGTGTTTTTATAGTAGCTTTGTTGGACCTGAGGCAAGGCCTCATTGACCTCAACTAGAGGCACTGCTTTGCATGTAAGTACAAAACATTTTGGTTTTCAGATTTAGTGGTGAGCATGACGATCCAATAGGCCATGAGCGTGAAATGGGGGGAAGGCATAGACATCCAGATGAGAGGTCGCATGGTCGATATGTTGGGCGTTCTTCTGGTGGGTTCCCAGGGTTTATTTAAAAAAAGTATGCACTTCATATTGTATCTCATGCACTCATATTCTACCTAGTTTTTCCTGAAAAGATTTTACAACCATCCAAAAGGAAAACTGTCCATTTCTATTTACTATTTTAGGAATCAATGAATTTGGTATGCTGTTTTCCAATTCAAATGTCTGAAGTGGTCATTTAAATATTCTTTTACTATTTTTATTATTCTGTTGCTATACATAGAAGGATGGGTTTTCTTATTATAAAAATAAATAAATAAGTATACCATTCACTTTAATATTTTCTCTTTAATAAGTGATTATAGGGATAAAGAGTTTACTAAGTTAGTTTGATCCCTTGTGTATTTTTGTTCTAGACTCGGGTTCTGGTCGGAGTGGATATGGTGATGCTGTTGTATCACGAGGTGCCCAAAGGTATTTCCTTTGAATATGCATTTATTTACAGTGTCCAAGACGGTTGGACCTTCAAGCATCTTTCTTCTTAGTATTATTATTTCACATCTTCAATACTCCCCCCTTTCCAGGTTAAGGTTCTCACTTGCCTTTCCTAGACGCCCCACTTTAAGGTTCCCATTTCTATTTTAGGAAATAATTGATGCCCTTTAATGACAATTTAATCATCAAATAATACACCTATAACATCACAATTATCATCAGTTTCCCCATTATATTGTATACCCACCCAAACTACTTCTCAAAATATACTGAAATAATGCCATTTAATTACTGTCCAAAAAAGTAAAAAAACCATGTCATTTCTGGATGAGAGCCTTAAGCCGGGACAAAGATAGTAGCATCTTGTCCCAGCAGAAGACATGTCTAATTGTTAACTGCATCCAGGATTCTAGGATCCCAGTGTATTTCAAGGAAAGCGGCGTCATTGAGTATATTTTTAAATTCATTACGTTTTCTTGTAACAAGTGAGCAATAATTTTCGTTTTCATGGGGTAACATAGATTCTTATCTATCCTTGCCTGTTACTTTGGGTTTCACATGCACACCAATCTCTGCACTTGTTTTATACATGAAAAAACTTAAGGCATACTATTGACAATCCCAAATATGCACAATTAGGGAAGTTCTCTACCTCATCATTGCAAAGGGCTGTTTGTGCCATTTTTTCGAAAATGCTTCAACTGTAATAAAAAAGATTTCTACTTGATGGATCTACAGAGAAGGATTGAAGTCATATAAACAGTTCATTCAGGAACTTGAAGATGATATCTTGCCAGCTGAAGCTGAGCGCAGGTTAGAAAGTGCATGATTTGTCTTTGTAGATCAGCTGTTTCATCTCATGAACTCAAAATGGATATCTGATTCAGAGCAAAATCCCTTTAATGGACTGCTCTCACATAAAACAATGACATGATCATGGTCTGTTCATAATGCAGGTATCAAGAATATAAGTCTGGATATATAGAAGCCCAGAAAAGAGCATATTTTGATACACATAAAGCTGAAGAATGGTATATATATTCAACCTTAAATTCTCCTTTTATTTTCCACTCTGTATGTTCGTTGCTTTTCATGATGTTTTGCCTACAACAGGTTAAAAGACAAGTACCACCCAACAAATTTGGTCACTGTAATAGAAAGGTATGTTCTGCATGTTTATGACGGAAGTTTGATAGCATGAGTATGACATGTCTCTGAATGCTTTTATTAGGTGTTTTCTTCAACTTTATTGTGGTTTTATGGACATCCCCATCTTTCCTCTCTGATCTTCTTAGGAGAAAGGGCCATGCACAGAAACTAGCAAAAGATTTCCTTCTTGATTTGCAAAGTGGATCGTTAGACTTGTAAGACATGTTTTCCTGTCTTCAACTAGATCCGCACTACATGCTTAGTATTTTGTTTTTTGTTACTACACTAATGTTACTGTTTTTGCGTGTGAAATAGAGGCCCTGGTGTTACCCCTACACCCTCAAACAGGACAGAACAGCCCAGTAACCCCAATACAGATGATGAAGCAGAGGGTGCTGACAAAAGAAGACGGAAAGGAAGGGGATCATCTAAAGATGCAATGTTATTTTCAGATGCTCCAAAGGCTCACCCAGTCAGTTCTGAGCCCAGAAGAATTCATATTGACATTGAACAAGCACAAGCACTTGTGTCAAAGCTTGATTTGGAAAAGGGAATTGAAGAAAACATATTATCCCGGTCTGATAATGATGTAGCTGGCAGGGACAAGAGCCATGGCAGTTCCTCTGGCACAGTTGTTATAGTGAGGGGGTTAACTTCAGTTAAAGGTCTTGAGGGACCTGAGCTTCTAGAAACTCTTCTAACCTATCTCTGGCGCGTTCATGGAGTGGATTATTATGGTATGACTGAAGCAAATGAAGCTAAGGGCCTCAGACACGTGAAATTTGATGGCAAGATTTCTGACACAAATAGTAATGGGGCAGATTGGGAAACAAAACTAGATTCGTATTGGCAAGAGAGGCTGAATGGACAAGATCCCTTGGAGGTCAGAACAGCTAAGGACAAGATTGATACAGCTGCAGTAGAAGCTTTAGATCCATATGTGCGCAAAATTAGGGATGAAAAGTATGGGTGGAAGTATGGTTGTGGAGCGAAGGGTTGTACAAAGCTCTTTCATGCTGCTGAGTTTGTTCATAAACACTTAAAGTTGAAGCACACAGACTTGGTGTTGGAGTTAACCTCTAAAGTGCGTGAGGATTTATACTTCCAGAATTACATGAGGTAAGTGCAATTTGTGCAAAGTATCGTGCAATTATCATGAATTGCATAATGATGCTTATTATTTTACAATTTTTTAGCGATGAGAATGCACCTGGTGGGACGCCTATTATGATGCCCTCTCTGTCGGTATGTTTGTATTACAAGTTTACAACTATTATCACCTTGATTATATAGTTTATGTTTCAGCTTTCAAGCCCTGCAATTTTTAAAGATTGCGCTCTCAGTTTACTTTTCTCCTCTTATCCACCTACCATAATGTTTGTAGTCTTACAACATAGATCTCATGTGTGGTTTGAGGAGATAGCTTTGTGGTTCAATTGTACACTTTGCATGTGGAGTGTAAGACATGACTGGCTTTAAAATATGGATCCTTGGTGGCTTGGTGATAGGAATGTGGTTTTGGTGCACCCCCTTAGTGCCTTTGATAGCATTCTTCCTTATTCATCATCATCATCATCATCATCATCACCTTAATATCACATTTCACCTATATTCGGGTTGGTGGCCTGAAGTTTATTGTGTGAAACTTTCAAATAATCATCTAAAAGCAGTGTAAGTTCATTCCTAAAATATTAATAAGCAATGGTTAAAACAAAGTTTATCCCCGTTGTCTTTCTTGTCAGATTCTGCTTATTAAGGAATAATGAAATGAAAATTTGAAAACCGTCTCATAGGTTTTTTTAACTGGAAAGAATCATGAGGTGTCAATAAGCGAGCTATTTGTTATGACCCTATCCATCATGAAAATGATATTGTAAAATCAAGATGCACACTGTAACATGCTTCATTATTGATTAGAGAAATAATGCTGCTGTTGGTTGGTGATGAGTTGATTGAGTTTTAATGCTTACGGGAGGATTGCTTTTATTATCACAGCCTGAAATCATTTCTTTATTGTAAATTTTGTTTAATGGAGAGTTTTAGTTATCTAGATAAATTTTGTTATATAGGTCAAGAATTTTAGTTGCTCTTAGACATAATCCCGGGGCTTCTTGTGGATTAATTGGAAATCCATCTGTACAAACCTCCTTGAAACTAGGAATTGGGTAATAAGTGTAAACTATGTGAAGCCATGAAAACAACATCCTAAGTTTGCGGAAGATTTCATTGCTTTCGGTTTCCATGATTTTGCAATTTAGCTCTTTTGAGATTTTACTTCCCTTTCATGTATTGTAATTCTTCCATGACATGGAAGACCCACTTTGGTTCTTGGTATGTTGATTGAGCTTTCAGATATTGATTGTTTGTAAAAACTCTATCATTAATTCTCCTCATTTTTTGGTATTATGCGGTATCTCATGAAGTGTATCTCATGAAGTGTCTGAATGGCAATGCAGAAAGAAAAATTGCAGAGGCAAAGGCCTAGTATAGAAAGCCGACTTAAAGATGATAGAGGTGACCAACGAGAACGTAATGGCCGCCGTCTAAATGGCAGTGAAAGATTTGACAGGTCTGAGAATCCACTCTCAGAAAACCAGTCCAAAGATGATGATGGAGGCCATCCAGATGATCAAATGTTTGATTCATTTGCTGGACATGGGATTCCTGTTGCTGCTTTTCATTCAGATATAGCCCCTCCCCCTGTGCTGATGCCTGTACCCGGAGCTGGGTATTTTAAAATATGTTTTGCAGTTTCAACTCCACTTCAATAATATTTAGCAAGCGTTGATTCTAATTCCACTGTTTCCTGGCTTGCTAATAACTTTCAAACACCTTTCACTTTCTTTGAATAATCCAACCTTTGTTTGTTTCTTTTTGGTATCTTTCCATCATATGCAATGGAGGCAAAGACTCACTATTTTTTTGGCTTGCGAACATGCTGGAATAAAGCAAAGTGAATCACTTAACTGTCTGCGCTTCTATGTTATGAAGCAGCAGTCAGTCCATGCAATTTTTGACGCGATTTTCACTATGGGTCATCCGGAAACAGTCTCTCTGTGTAGTACAGGTATAAGACTGCGTACATCCGACCCCCTTACCCCACCGTAGGTGTGAGCCTTTGCGGCACTGGGGTAATGATGATGATGATGTCAACGGATTATCTTCTAAATCAGATTCTCACTTGAAAAATGACCTGTATTATGAGGGTATTTGGAATGGCTGGGTTATTCTCTAGGAAGTGAAAGGTGGTACCGTGGTAGTCTCATAAGGTGATCAGGAAAAGGTTGGGTGATTGGAATCAATTTTTTCTACTATTTATGTGTTACAACTTATTCTGCTTTATAATTGTCTTTATATAGTCCCCTTGGGCCATTTGTTCCTGCACCTCCTGAAATTGCGATGCAAATGTTTCGAGAACAAGGCGGTCCCGTTCAATTTGAAGGAGGTAGAAATGGTAGGCAAGGGCATCGTATGGGTGGACCATCCCCTATCATTGCTTTACCACCAACTCTTCGACAGGATCCTAGGCGCTTGCGAAGGTAACGTTCATTTCCATCTGTTCAGTACTTTTATATTGATGCATTCATTTCTAAAATTAGTGTCAGCTATCAAGTACTGTTTGCTGGTTATATGCACTTATATATAGGTAATATAGCATACATGTCCAATCTGGTACTCTTTTGTTATTAATGCAATAACTAAATCAGATGCAACACAAGCTAACAGGATTTTGATGACATGATTTGGCTGCCATTTTGACTAGGTTCTGATAATTTAGCGCTTCTAATTCCTTCTAAATTCATATTTTCTATTTCCAAAATCAGAAGAGTACAATAGCATAGAAGCGCTACTGTCTTGGGGGCATAGACAGATAGACTCCAATCAGAAATCACACCTTTGACTTAGAGAAGATAGCTAGTTTTGTCCTCGTTAGGGACTAAGTCATTTCACACTAAGCACTGAGAACATGGGCCCGTACCGTGCTACTGCCTTTACCTAGGATTCTTTAGCTCTTATGCCTACTTCTACAAGTACGGTATCAAAGATATTTTTGCATGGGACCTACGTTCTGGCCTAATGACTATTTTCTTATTTTGGCTCTTTAGAAATAAGGCCTTATTTAGGATTCCCTGTCCCTCAAAACTTTGCTAAGTTTTCTTATTTAGCCATCCCCAAAAACTTTGTCATTTCTGCATAAACCTCAACCACTCTGTTTACGTAATTATTTAAAGTGCAAATCAACTTTGGCCAAGTTATATGAAATGAAGAGTATTATCTTCAGGACATCCCTTCATTCCTGGCCTATGGTGAACTGTGGAATAATATTTATTTGCTTAGAGTACTCCCAATTTGGGTAAGCAATTTGAAAATGCGCTTTTTGGTTCGAAAACATTGTAGTTTCTAAACCATAGTCACATGGATCGCGGTACGTTCCGGAACGTGGAACGAAAACGGGATCGTGGATCACAAATATTTGAAATCCGGTATGCAGGGGGGTAGGCTGCTTCGGTAAGCTATTTCGATACACGGTACGGTACGGATCGAAAAGGAAAGTGAGGCAGTTCTTTTGAAACAGAGGGAGTCATATACAATATAATTAAGGGAAAACTGTCAAATGAGTCCATGTACTATATTGAAAAAGTCAATTGAGTCCATGCACTTTTTTATCAATCAATTGGGTACACAAAGTCTCAAATTTTAATCAAAATTGCTATTTGACCGGTAAACAACCGGTGACCCATTTTTTTGCTGATGTGGAGGGCACTTGGACTTTTTTCACCTTCTTCTCCAATCTCCCTGCAACCCCTCTCCCCTATCCTTCAACCTCTTCATCTTCTCCACTGCTTTTACCCCACGCCTCCACCCAATTCAACATTTCAACCTCCCCCTCTATTCTTGCAATCTTGCCCACCCCCATCTCCTTTCCATTTTCTTTCATTTTCCTCTTCCTTTTTCTCTTCTCCAATCCACTTCTTCTACTCCACTCAACCTTCTATCCCCTTCTTTCATGGCCGGAGAAGGCAACCCGACTGAAACCCGACGAAAATCCTAGATCTTCTTCGATGGCAACCAGACGGCGACGTAGAAGGTGGCGGCGGAGCTCGTCTCCGATGGTGATGCCGGAGGCAGAGCTCGACGCCGATGGTGACGGCAGCGGCGGCAGTGCTTGGCGGGGATGGCGGTATAAAGATGGAGTGGTAGAGATGGGAAAAAGCAAGAAAAAAGAGTAAGAAAATAAAGAAAGAAAAGAGAAAGAACGAAGATACCGAGAGAAAAAAGAAGAAAAGGCAGGGAGAGAAAGACCAAGGGAAAGAGGAGAAGGGAATAAAAAAAGATTTTTTTAAAAGGAAAGAAGAATTTAACGCCACATGGACGGCCAAATAGTGCTTACAAGGAAAAAAGCCACATGGATGTCCACATAGGCAGATTAACAGGGGAAACCGGTCAATAACCTGATAAAAGGCAGATTTGGTCATTTTTTGTAACTTGGTAGACTTAATTGATTAAAAAAATAGTATGTGGACTCAATTGACTTTTTCGAAATAGTAGATGGACTCATTTGACAGTTTTCCCTATAATTAAAGAGGGAAAATGAGTTTTTTTTGCAAGTCAGTTTGATCAATAAATAACAAAACGCGAAACCACCATTTGTTGCTTCTTTGCCGTTGGGAGTGCTGAGCTTTAAGACCCGACATCAAAACATCTGCCGAACACATAATTATATGGTATTCCGCTTAAAATACGATTGGGACACATAATTCTCTCAAAATACTAAGCCAAACAGCCCTTTAGTTGGATGTTGGAAAAACGGTTTTAGTGATTGTATTCTATTCAGCTCTCTAGTTTTTTTGTTTGAACAAATTTTGTCTGATTATCCTATACTAAGTATTACTCATAAATTTTGGATTGACCAGTAAGACATGTACCTATTTAATGTACTTGATTCTGAGAAGCAAAATCTGCCATTCTTAGCATCAAACATACTAACCATCTCTCAGTCTCTCTTTGTTGAAGCATTATTGGCATGTAATTACATAATTTTTAATTAATTTACAGCTATCAAGATCTTGACGCACCTGAAGATGAAGTCACTGTGATAGATTATCGGAGTTTGTAGATTATTGAGGTTACTGTAGATCTTGACTCACCGTCCTGTTCTGTTTCACTAATCCAGTAGGGCTGATTTAAGGGTTTGTCCCATTAGTAACAATTTTTCCTCGCTTGTTATGGATTATATTCTTGCTTGTAATAACATTATCCTCTATAAGGCAGTTATTCAATATTGAGGGGCATTTTGTTTGGGTCAAATAAGATTTTTGAGGCAATATTACCATTTAATTTATTTTGGACACAGAACAGGTTATCACAGATTCACAGGGCTACTCTCACACAGGCTTTTAATATTTTGTTGTGAACCGAGAAGCTGCTTCTTATCTTCATATTAAATTATTAATTCGTGTTCATCTGGCTAAAGTAGCACACTAGCACCCCAAGTCCCCAAAAAGGAAAACCAAAAAAAAAAAAAGAAAACCAAAAAGAAGTATAGAGACGCTCACAAGGATTTTTTTTTTTCAAAAAAGAAAACCAAACAACTACCCGGAGTTCTGAATGCCCCAGCTTTTCTGTTATTATACCACGTACATAATAATAAACTTATATGAATAAAGTGGGTATTTAAAGATCTTTTTTCAAATTACAAACTTAAAATAAACACTAACCCTTTAAAAAATGATTACTGAAGACTGGTGGGGACGTGGTTGTTTTACTAAAACGGAGGGATTTTGGGAAGAGGGAGTTCAGCGGCCATGTTTATTCAAGCATTTTAATAGATTCACACGATTACTCATTTACTGCAATCAAACTCAGATCAGTGTCATGCCATCACAAATTTAATTAGAAGAAAATGAGACATACAAGTATACAACAAATCTAGATATTGCAATATACGTGGTATTAGTGTATTACAATTGCACTTCAGTGACTTCATTAAGGGATTAGAGTATGCACCGCATTTTCATTCACAATTTGTGTTCGCATCGAATTTGTTAAATGGCAGTAGAAAGTAGGGCTGAGCACGGATCTGGAAATTCTCGTTCCGTACCGAGAACTGTCTCAAACTGTATCAGAATAAAACAAAACGGAAAAATATAACGTTGTATTGTACAATATCGATTTTTTTTAATAATATGATATGGTATGGGTTGGCAAGTGAGAACCATCCCAAAACCGTCCTAAAATCATATTGAACCGGGGAACCGTCCCAAACTGTCCCGGATCGTCCCGTAAAATTGGTTATACAAAATGATGTATACTCAATATATATACTAGTATTATACTACGTATTATTTATTATATTAGCAAACAATCTAGATTGTGGTTACTCAAAGCTTTGGTATAGACTGTCTAATGCACACACTTTGGGCCCTTAATACAATTATTTAGAGTACTAAGTTTTATAAATAATACTAGTAATAACTTTGGTACGGAATATGTAAACTTAGTCCATTGCCTTTCTCATTTCCCTTTCTCCTATTTCCAATCAACAGCTCGGGATGGGGTGGATTGTAGAGCAGATCGATTCCATCAAGTCTATACAGTTCAGGCAACTTCTCACTCAAGCTATTACTCTCGGTATGATCGTTACTTCTGCGTTGATTATATGGAAAGGGCTAATGTGCATAACTGGCAGTGAATCACCAGTGGTGGTTGTTCTCTCCGGAAGTATGGACCCTGACTTCAAAAGGGGTGACATATTGTTCTTGCGTATGACTAAAGATCATGCATATTCGCACTGGAGAAATAGTTGTGTTTAATGTTGATGGTCGTGAAATTCCAATCGTCTACAGAGTGACAGAATGAAATTCCATGAGCGCCAAGATACCGGAGAAGTTGATATACTAACAACTTAATTATGCTTATATTTTGCCTGACTTAATTTTACATAGAGATTTTAGAGTGCTTAGGAATATGCTCGAACACCCATTCTGTATGGTTGTCAATTTTTGATCATTATGTTAGAGACTTTAAAAGTCATATCATATAGGTTATGTAATGAACTAAATAGAAACCATTATTATACTAGCCATGTTGATTTTGCGGGAAAAAAATGTAAACTTAGTTTAGTTACTTTGACAGCAACCTCGATTGCTTTGCATCCTCCCAAAGATCAGAACTATAGTTTTATTATAGTTTGGCTACTAGCTCTGCATTTCAGCTAGGTTTGATTACACAAGGTTAGTTTAACGTACAATTTTCAATTTTGCAACCCCTTCTCTTAAATTCTTGTACAGTTACTTATAAATATTAAAACCTAAAATATTTTTGACTTCGTGAGAGTTAATTATTAAAGAATTGAATAGTGCTAGAAAACCGTATCAAACCAAACCAAGTCATACTGAAAATTGACAAATAATGAAACATGCTCTCTATATATATTCAGAACGATACTAGTTCTTGATTTTCCAAAGAACCATATTTTGGGACGAGACATGTTTTTCAAAATAACTGTCGTGTATTGTCCCACGCTCACCCCTAGTAGAACGTATACCGGGAAGAAAATTAGAACTTTTAACTTCTACATCTAATCTTCTATATGTGTTACTCATACTTTTTGTCTGATTATATACAGCTCTGCCATACCAATTTTTTGAATGTGACATTGTTTTATTGCCCAACACTCTACGCCATACATTAATACAGACTTAATTGTCGTCGGATAAAACTTACTAGACAATCTAGTCGGCATACCCCGATCACATAGAAGTCCTGATGCGCTCTTCCATTTTCATCCACCCCGCTCTAATTCTATGGGATACATCTCCCTGAAACTCACCATCCTTCTAAATCATGGAGCCCAAATAAAATAAAGTAACATGTCACACACCAATATCTCCTTACCATTAAGAATAATCTCAGTGTTACTACTATTTCTACTTTCACCAAACTTGGACCCCATATACCTAGTCTTGCTTCGACTCAGTCTGAAACCATTGATCTCCAATAATGTTTGTTGTCATATTTTCAACTTTGCTTTAATACTCAATTGTGTCTCATCAGTCAAAACAATATCGTCGGGGAACAGCATGCACCACGGTATATATAACATCTTGAATGGACTTCGTTGCTTCATCCATGACTATGGCAAATGAGTAGGGACTCAAAGTCGATCCTTGGTTTGACTCATATACCCAATCTTGCTTCGACTCAATCTGAAACCCTTGCTCTCCAATGCTTTTCATCATACTTCCAACTTTGCTTTAATACTTGATTGTGTCTCATCAATAAATACAATATCGTCGGTGAAAATCATGCACCACAATGTATCTTCTTGAATCGACTTCGTAACTTTCCATGACTATAGCAAATGAAAAGAGACCCAGATTCGACCCTTGGTGCACTTCGGTAGTAATAGAGAACTTTGAAGTCCTCCCTACCCTACTACGGACACTCGAACTACAAGCCACATACATATCCATGATGATATTAATATTTTAGGAAGAACCTAAAAATGTAACATATCGGGCAAACATTAATTACATTTCTACCCCGCCCTAATATAATTAAATTTCCCTAATTTCCTTGGATAATCGAGGTCAGCTTGTTGGTGGCAGAGCAGTCTGGTGGCGGCGGCAGACTGAAGATGGCGACTGGCAGTGGCGGCGGAAATATGATGGTGATAGAATGCTGGAGATAGGCATCAACGGCGGAATTCAGACGATAAGGTCACTCTCCAAAACATTTCCAGATAGAATGCTAAAAATAATTATGTATATTTGTCCAAATCAGGGCCGGCTTTAGAAGTATGGAGGCCCTAGGCCAAAAATCACTTAAATTTAGAGTACATGAGTACATCACACTGATATGATTTCTATAACACTAAAGTCACAGAAAATTACAATATGAAATAAATTGTATATAAACATAGATTCCAATGATATTCATATTGAACCATATATTGTGAACGTGAAAAGAATAGATTTCTAAATGTAAACATACACCAAACGTATCAATATTTGTTCCTTTAATCGTATTAAGAACCTAATTACAATCAAGATTAACCACATTTTTCAATAGAGCTAGTTTGTGAAGAAACCTCAAATCAGAAATTCACAAATACAAATATTTGATAGTAAACCAAAACTTTATTAATCTAACAAATCATTGTGAAAATTACAAATAAATCCAAATAGCTAGTCCAATCAAATTAGTTAAAATTTATATTATGTAGTACAATAATTCTAGAGCAGCCCACTTGCCCTGCTAAAATTACTTTATACGAAGCATATAAAGTATTTATAACTATGGAATTAAATTCCTACAAAATATATCCAATTCTTTTTTGCGAATTGGCCTCCCATGCATTATTCTGCCAAAATAGGAACTAACAATATTAACCATTTAAGGCCCTAAACTATACATAATTCTAAATCCTTAATTAACACTCAAGAGCTAAGCACTCAGGTTAGCGAAACTATGAAACTACCGTCTCTCAAGTTTAGGGACTTTTCTTTTCTAGTTCGCTGTGTTGGATGCTCATTCTGTTCGGCAGCTTAGTTTTCTAAATGATTAAAATTAATATTAATAATACAAGGTATACTTTTTTTTGGGGCCCCTAGAAATATGAGGCCCTAGGCAATTGTCTGGCCTTACTCCCCTCTTAGCTGGCTCTGGTCCAAACACACATAATTACTTCTATTTGGGGATTCACTCTTAGAAAGCGATCAAACCTATCATTTAACCGGTTTTTGACCTATTGTAGCAATTTTTTTTTAAAAATATCTATGAAAATTATAAAAGATTGAAAAATAGAAAAATACCGTAAAAAATGTAATAATGTCAAACTCTATATGTAGTATTTTTTAAAATTATGTGTATATCCTACGTCTTTTTACAAGTTTTTACATTTTCATATTTTTAATTTATTTTTATTTTAACATTTTAAAATTATTTCATTTTTCTATTTCTTATATTTTTTAACTTATATAAGTTTTTTATAAATTTTATAAATTTTCTTACTTAATTTATATTTTTAAAAATAATGTGCTATAACATGTCAAATGACTGGATTGACTATATTTTCAATATAAGTGTGCCGGATTTGTTTTATTATATATACCCAATTGATAAATTTGAAACATCAAAAGTCTATTTAAATTATTTCCTTAATAACTTTATGTTCTAAATGATAGATGTAGGAAGACGACAATGACAAAGCTTCTTGGAACTGTTTTTCACATTCCTATTAATATTATTGATAGTGTATATGTGTCCATACCCTATGGCCCACATACTCAGAAGGCAAATACAAGGGCCATGACACTCAGATGGCCCTCCTTCGATC